GGCTTTTGCCCAACGGAGCCTCGTGACGAAGCTCATCCAACATTGATTCATCACTGGTAAACACCAGGTCTAGAATATTGGGAGTCTGTTTACTTCTATAATGGGTTGGTTTGGTAACGTGCTGGACTAGGAAGGAGTCTCTTACTGACTCCATGAACAAGGATGCTGGGCAATTCTCTTCCCTTGTAGAGGATCCATCTATCCAGTCTAGCTCTGGATGATTAAAATCACCAACGATCAACGTGTGTGACTTACAGAAAGTCATGCTTGGTAAAAGACTGTTTAGTATTTTATCGTTATCAGAAGAACTGTTTGGTGATCTATACACGACGCCTATGAGGAGGCTATATCTTTGCCTTTTAGATTAAGTTCGCACCACACTGATTCTCTAGCTGATTGATGTTCTGCAGATACCTTGACTTGTTGGGCCCCATAAGAAGTTCTAACCCACAAAGCTACAGTGCTACACCTCATACTGTGCAGACTGCAGAGAGTGGATGAATATTGCAAGATCTTTGGCGACGCTTCAGTAGCCAAATTTTCGCCTTCAGAAGATCTTGCCAACACATTTAGATTGAAATTCTTGCATTTAATATATTTCTCAGTCTTCGGCCAACTATTTAGAAAAAAGTAAGGTTTCCGGTGCGTTGGATGGAATACGATGCAGCGAAGCTTGTCCGGAAATCAGTTGCGATGAGTTCCCACAAAAAATGTAAACAGCGTTTTTTCGATTGCGTAGTTTCGGTCACATTAGAGTGGTCAGACTGCTTTATTACATGTTCAGTTGACACTTGCTGTACAATCTGACTGTTTTAAGGGTAAAATTAGTTATTTGGGGTAACACGTGCATGCAACCTTGTAACTAAGTTCGTGGCTTGTAAATAGTTCGTCATTACTCAGCGTAAATGGCTTTTCATTAAAAATTACCTGGCGACGCATCTTTAAAATGGCCGGCGACGCTTTGGGCTTAAAAATCCATATATTGGTGACGCTGCATCCACCCTCTGCTCTGCATAGTGGTACACCTCTACTGCACTGCTGAGTCCAGCTCCGCTGACTTGTATTCCAGCTCCCCTGACTGACCATGTGCGGTCGGTGCTGTCTTGACATCGGAGTAAAAGAATATGGTACGACATTTTAAACCAATCAATGCTTCTTTATGGACCACTGCACAATGCATGAGGGCCTAATGGCCTATGAGCACCTTTCAAAACAAAAGATAACTGAGTACTAAATGAACGAAAGGGGCAGGCCAGTGTTGTGTAACAGTAGCTAAGCAGCACCAGCACCTGCAGCAGCTTTGTCTAAAAATTTGAAAGTAAAAGGCCTTGATGAAGTCCAGTTTCAAGTCCTTAGGTCAGGAGCCTAATTCAGCATAAAAATACTATAAATTTACATTTCAGCATGTAAAGTTTACTCTACTTCCTATCATTGCCATGCAACCAATTTCTCACTCTTTGTTCAAGTTTGTTGCATTGTTTACATCACATCACAACGCAGAGAGTTGCTTTGAATGGCTGTGGCTCATTGTTCCGTTTTTGCTTTCTTGCTCATCTGTGCCTGTTCTTCCACTTTATTCAAGTTCATATATTTGCTAATTTTTTTCTTGTAATTTGCCTGAAAATTTATCCATCTAAGGAAGGCAAAGATTAAATTGGTAAAGACAGACAGTTCCTTCATTGTTCATATGTTTTTTATACAGTGTGGAGAATAATTATCCATTAATATTAGCTCTATGTAAAGCGTGCTGGATGTAAAAATTTAAAGTGATTTGTCCCTGGCAACCGGGCTGACAATTTAGCAGCATAGTGGCAAAGCAGAGAGTTTTTTAGACTCTCCCTCAACTTAGCAGTCACTGTTAGGCTGAGCCTCCACCCAATTTATTTACAAATTGACTTCAAATTCAAAAAGTTGAAGTCAATACACACAAATAATAATCCTGCTAACAGGTTAGCAGGATTATTTGTCTAAAATCCTGCTAACAGGTTAGCAGGATTATTTGTGCCGAAATTCACAAGGAGCACGAGGGTCGTCTGCCGAAGACGGGAGCGCTGCCGTAGCCCAAAAATTTGACTCTTAAATCAGCCCAAAAGCCAATGCCAACCCTCTACATGCAATAGAAATAGTCAGTCTAATACCTATGCAGCTGTTCTTACTTGCCTCATCTCGCCACACCAGCTTGAAACAAGCAATGCCTCATCCCACAAACTGATACTAAAAACGGATTATGCCCTATAGCTCCTACACCAATGATTTAAGCCCATACCATCACTTCTTACAAATGCCGTAAGCCACAGGGTCCGCAGACCGCACCAGACTGCCGTAAATGGGAACGGCCCCGCACCGGACTGTCGCATCACCTTACCCACTTCGCAGGCGTAAGCCCAGCCCTAGCGCTCACCAGCATCTTCTACCTCCACACTTACCCCATTCTCTCCACCTTTCGGCGATACTGCGAAGGGGTTAGGTTAGGTTAGGTTAGGTTTGGTTAAACTTCTTCCGCAAGCTGGTACCGAAAGGAGGGGGAGCAGGGGGTAAGCGTGGAGGTTTAGCCTCCAGAAGAACGGACAGGCTGGAGAGGTAGCAGTGTGGCGCAGGGCGTTCTTTATCGAAAGTGGGGAAGGGGCTAGGCAGCATGGAATAGAAATATTTTGGGGTTTAGCGTGTGGGTTATAAGCCCAGCCCTAACGCTCACCAGCATCTTCTACCTCCACACTTACCCCATTCTCTCCACCTTTCTGCGATACCGCGAAGGGGTTAGGTTAGGTTAGGTTAGGTTAGGTTTGGTTAAACTTCTTCCGCAAGCTGGTACCGAAAGGAGGGGGAGCAGGGGGCAAGCGTGGAGGTTTAGCCTCCAGAAGAACGGACAGGCTGGAGAGGTAGCAGTGTGGCGCAGGGCGTTCTTTATCGAAAGTAGGGAAGGGGCTAGGCAGCATGGAATAGAAATATTTTGGGGTTTAGCGTGTGGGTTACGACCATTGTTTTGGCGGCTTGCAGGTCATTGGCTCGCTGGTTTACATCCATGAAGGAATTTAGTCCCTGTGGCTTTCAGCAATTCAGCAAGTAATCATGTTGGCTAATTTGCTCTGCAGCATGCTTGCACACAGGGTCAAGTATGAAAATTATGCTGGTATTGAGCAATGCTGATTGCTGGGTTATTTCAGTCGTCCCCGAAGACCACCACTGCCCTGGATGTAATGGACCATCATGATTCCTGCCTTCCGGAACATAGCCTTCAGCACTTCAAGCCGTCCGTATCTAGGCCGTGGGTCGAACCATGCCTCGGTGATCGGTCGAATGGCCACTTGTCGAAGGACGATAAATTTTGCAACAACTATGCTATCTGAAACCTAACCTCGGATGCGGTGAACGTAAAATTACGTAATTAAACGATGCCTGGAAGTAACATTCGATCCGCGGCCGGCGGCCTGGTGGTGCACGGCAGGTGGTGGTCAAGGCCGGAAGAGGACAAAGCCGAGTGGTGCAGGGCCGATTGGTGTGGGTCCGGAGAGATCCAAGGCGTTCGATTCAGGGCTTATTGGTGCAAAAAATTGGTGGTGCACGGCTGCATAGTGGCAAACCACAGCTTTTTTAGAATCAATTTATTTTCAATTTCCTCATTTACCCAAGATTTAAACCAATTTCTTAAGTATGATGATGCTAGTATCCAGGATACTTTACTGGTCTACTTATAGGACTCAAAAATGAACTTGAGGGAGAGTCTAAAAAAACTCTCTGCTTTGCCACTATGCACGGCTGCGCTCCCGGAGCACGACATTTCTTCTAAAATTCTGAACAGAGTTGAACGAAACTTATGAATACCTAACCTCCCAACGGTGATGTTTAGCTGGTGGCATTTTTTTTTTTTTTTGCCTTCGTTTGCGAGTTATACGGCTTAACGTATACGGCTCTTGGTCAATGCAAGTTTGAAAATCGGCCTGAGAAATGCCGGTCGTTTCTCCGTATAACTCGGGAACGAAGGCAGAGAGTCACGAGCTAAACATCACTGTTAGGAGATTAGGTATTCATATTCGAAGTTTCGATCAAATCTGTTCAGTACGGTATTTCAGAAGAAATGTCTTGCTCACTGTGAATTTCGGCACGTATTGCTGTAAAAATCACGAATGAGGGAAAAATGAAAAAAAAAACTCGTGAACGAAGGCAAAATCTAAAAATTTGTCACGAGCTAAACAACACCGTTGGAAGGTTAAGTTTGTATATTCAAAGTTTCATTCAAATCTGTACAGTAGTTTAGAAGAAATGTCCTGCTCAGTGCTCAGTGCTCACTATGAATTTCGGCACGCATCGCCGTATAAATCACAAATGAAAGTGAATTTCCAAAAATTTTGACGAGCTAAACATCACCGTTAGGTCCTATTGAATACGTCACTACGTGTACCAAGTTTCATCGAGCTACGTTCATTATTTTGGAGATATTCCTTGTTCACTGAATTTGGAGATTTGCCGCGGACCGGCCGCAAGTACGGCCGTAAATTTTTCCGAGACGTCAACAGGTCGTTGTCTGCTGCTTTCGTCCACGACGCGTGAGAGTGGTAAGCTATACGTCCACGACCACAACGCAGGCTCAAGGCAGGTTATATTGAAGGATACGAAAAATTCTTCACAATGATATTATTTACTCATGACATGAAAATATGTTCAACTTAGCGAGATTAGAGCTGCTTCTAGTTAGACTTCAGCAAAGAAGAAACAGACTGCCCTACCTTTACGTGCTGGAACTTTCGTGGAGTGTTCCTTGGAAAGTTCTTAGGTTAGGATTTGAAGGTTTCATCACAACCTTCATTGTCCATGCAGCTACATCATGAAATATATTGCACAGCGGTATACAGAGCCAAAAACTGAGTTCAACCAAAGTCACTTGTTTTAAAAATTTAAGTCAATGTATCATATGATAAAATTAAAATTCTAGTCAATTAAACGGATACAACGACTGAATGGAAAAATTTGCAGTCGTCATTATTTCATTTCAGGAAACATCACATGGATTTACTGCTTTAATTGCTGCTATGTTGCATTACAAGATTCGGGGTTAAATGCTCATGACCTACATCTAAACAAGTAAAATATTCTTCTCGTACTATTGCACATCGCCGGCCTCTAAGCAAACAATCTCGGGTTTTAGGAATTATTCACGCCTTAAAATTGCTTTAAGGTAATGACTACATGATACCTACCCATTACTTGGGTGCTCATCAGGAAAACGTCTACGATATACTAAAACAGCAAGACTATAGAAAAAACATTGCGGTCTAATATCTATATAAATATTTGCACCTTATTTTATACAGAGCAGTACATTTCATCCAGGAAATAGCCAGATAACAATTTTCTTTTACGATGGGTATGACCGATGCTATTTTCCAAACACCCTGGATAGAGTCATGATACAAGAGTTTCTTGTATCTGGTGACTTCTGCCTTCTCGGTGTGATTAATTTAACAAAGAAAATATAACAAAGAATATACGTGCACTTACTTCGTTAACTGTCTATTCCTGGATAAAATTCTTAAAGCACGACGAGTCACACTTTGTAACGCCACAGGTCGCTTTTAAGAACACTTCAAGTGACTCGCAAAAATAGCGGCTACGTCAACAGCGAAAACACTTATTACGCGCATGATCGCAAAAATAGTTATGCTAAATCTACTCACAGTCGATCGTCTCACCAGATCCTAATTCAATTACAATCTATTAAACGGCGACTTATAAAAATTAACTTTCATGGGTTTGATTTGTGTGTAATGAACCGGGTATAAAGGTCCTGCAGTTATTGAATTATTTGCAATTAAATGATTGATTCATTGAGAATTGCAAGCCTTTAGCACAGAATTCACAGGGTAGTAGAGCAAAGGTTCTGGCAAAAAGTTGCCCAACAAACCGGTATTTAAGTTGCAACAATACCAAAGGCATACAAGTTCAGGATCAAAAACTATATAGCATGAAAACCGGTCCAATGAATGAAGTAATTGATCACTGATATTAGAAGTAATCACTAATGAAAAATGTCACGATGTGATATTTACTAACCTAACCCAGAAGTTATTTAGCGTGCGATCAAATTCATCTTCAGTCCCAGTCACCCATCTTGAGTATACACGACAACAATCAGAGTCCCCCGATGACTTCGAAGACGCAAGAAGTACATTACAATTAACATTCATCGATATAATCTATCATAAAACTGACAACGTTGAATTTGTCACTTGCGCTGTAATTTCAACACTGCTGCCGATAATAATGTAATGAAATGTGCTCATATCTTTTGAGGGTATCAAGATCATAGGTATAGATATTATTCAATCTTAAAATTACAGTGTAGAACTTTTAAACCGCTCCAAAATGCCTATACATAATTCACAAAAACAGTCAGGGAACACGACACAGGAAAATTTAAAAAAGTGATTGTGCACGGGCACGTCGATTATCTTCAGCAAGTCGAAATTCGATCCCAATAATTTATTTAAGGAATAATGACTATAATAGCTTTGCGAAATCTAAAAAAAAAATGTTTAACGATAACGCAGAGAAAATTTGTTATTCTATTTTTATTATATAATATATCAGAAAAACGTTTAAAATATGACGTAAAATTGAATCTCGTAATTCGCTGAGATCAGCCTGTTTGGCACGAGTGCTTTCTATCAATGACATATGAGGGCGATGAACATTTTAGAGCTGTCGGAAAGGAGTTTTAATGCTACGAATTGGCCCCTATCATTAATTGACACGAACGCACACACATTGCTTAATAATATCGTGAAAAATGATGAATACTCATGCATTTTCAACGTCAAATTTCTTATTCGAAAACCCGGCTCGGGATCCTTAATTAATGCCGCCCAAGTCTCAGCATTTATATAACAGCTGACCGGGAATATCAATTTGGCTGCATTTCTTATGATCATACGAGATACGACGATCATTACACGACCTAATGCAATCAAAATGCAACATTCATTGACATGAACAATATACATTAAATGATATGTAGTTATGCGACTACTAATTTTATAGCAATTTTGAGCTCCCTTACGATAAAACAATAGTAATCTCTGCAAAGAATTCTCAACAGCCAATAAGAGGCCCGTAGAATGAACGATTAAGGAATAGATGTAAAGAAAATATACTTGAAATTCATAGAGAGCATTCGACTTCAAGTGTAACCTGAAAATTGTCTTTTCCAGTCAAAATATCCTGTTCAGTAGTTGACCACATCCCAGTCGCGACGTCATACAAGCAGAAGAGCGTCATTTCAAGAGAACAAATCCAACATTTAATTAATGACAACTTCAGACCAAAGTTCACTGTCACCAGAGAATTTAGACCAAATTACCGCTACCGCTGCCGTAAGCCTGCTGCTTGAAAATCGCTGTGATTTCGTCAATGCTGCGACCCTTGGTCTCAGGAACCTTCTTCCACGTGAAGAGGATGAAGAACGCCAGCAGAACCACGAACACCAGGAACACGTATGGACCCATTACCTGGTGGCGTGTGAACGTTACCAATAGTTTCTCGAGAAAACAGTCATAGTTTTTCACATATACAGCATCATTCAGGGATTGAATCGTTAGTTTTGATAGGCATACAAGTTCAAACACTCGGGTTGAAATGAATCTAATTCCACATGTGTTAAGCAATCTCCTCCCTTGAGTGCTATCTTTTTAGAAAGCAATGTTCGTAGTAATAATAACGCAATGTTTTTGTACTTTCTTTATGAGGAATACAAATCAAAGTTTCTAAAAGAGATTGGTTTGAGTAAAAAATATTTAAATGATTTATATTGCACTCCACTTAGGGATTAAGAATTTATTCTGAATTTAGAATTTCACAGTCTCTTTGAGAAGAATTTCTCTGTACGTCGTGCACGTGCGATGCAGAATCGATAATAAATATTTGCCAAAGTAGCCCTAAGCGTATCGCCTACTAACCAATTTTAATTGCATAATTTGTACACTGACCTCGGCAATGGGTAGGAAGAGAAGCCCGACCAGGAAGGCGGCGGTCCAGTTGACCGCGACGGCGATGGACGCGGCGATGGGGCGAGCGTTGCTGGCGAAGACTTCGTTGACGAGGAACCAAGGGATGGACCCGGGGCCTGTGGCAAACATCACGACGAAGGAGATGACGAGCACGATTGAGAAGTAGCTGATCCAGGTGCCGTGATCCTTGAGGGCAAGGCAAATGGTGAGCAGTAGGGAGACTATCATCATGCCAGTCAAGCCAGTGAGCATGAGGGTTTTCCTGCCAGCCTTCTCGACCATAACGAGGGAGATGAGGGTCATGGCTACGTTCATGGCGCCCATGGCGATGGTCGCGTAGAGGGAAGCTGCCTCGCTCAGACCAGCAGACTCGTAGATTTTCGTTGAGAAGAAGATCACCTGCACAAGAGGAGATATTCTTTACATGTTTGTCGATCTGGCAGCACAAAAATACTAATACAGGGAAAAAATGTTTAGTTTCTGTGGTATTTTCTAATTCGTGGTTAATGTGACGAACTTGTCATAAAAATCTTCTTCAGACCGTAGCACTGACGTTCACGTGGTTCGTTCCTGTTGGATTTCGAAGTCTTTTGCAAGTGTATTCTTAGCTCAGCCATATTTATGGCTTAGAGTGAAGATGATGAGAGAGGGGAGTTTAAAGAATAAAGCATTGCCCTCGCGTATACTGCGACTGCAGCAGCCACACTCCTCAAAATATGAAAAAAGACATATATACATTTAATATAACATTGTCAACTGAGTCACTGACAGCGTTGATGCCGGAGAGCTGCTGCGCCAGCATCATCATGAGGGAAATGACGAGCGGGATGCGCAAGGTTGGGTTCGTGATGATCTCGCGCACGGACACCGTCGGCACAAGCTTCTGCGCCTCGGCCTCGCTCTGCATCTCTTCCATCTCGTCGTGCACGTTGGTTGAGTCGCGCAGCCACTGCAGAGCTGTCACGAATCGCACTTATTATTACATTTTTATAGGTGCTGGATCGTGAAGTTCTACGTAAAATATATGTTTAATAGAAATTCTTGAATTATAGAGAAACGGCGTAAATATCTATCTAAATTTCATAGGAAAAATACAATATTAAAATTAAAAATTACCGGAATGCGGATAGATACTATGTTTTTTTTTTGGGGGGGGGGGAATTCAAAATATTTTAAATAATCAGTTTTTCGGAACGAAAAACTGATATGGTGACGATCACAAGTCTGATGTCGCCGTACCTCTCTGGGAGTCGACCTGCTTGCCCTTGTTGATGAGGAGGTACTTGGGCGACTCAGGGCAGATGGGCAGCACGCACAGCTGGAAGACGGCCGGGCCTGCCGTGAGGGCCAACATTATGGGCCACAGACTCTCTGAGCCCAGGATCGACTCCAGGCCCATGATTTGTGAGAACTGCGAAGCAAGGAGGTCATTAAAAGGCTTATACATGAACTGATGTATCATTACGTCAATACATTAAATTCAATTCCGAGCCCAGGATCGATTCCAGGCCCATGGTTTGTGAGAACTGCGATGCAAGGAGGTCAATAAAAATGTTTCGGAATAAAGAGAAGTGTCATTAACGTCGCTTAACTAAATTACTCATAGACTAGAGCAATGAAGTGAGGCCCGTGAAAAGAAAAAGTAGGGAATAATATGTATAAACTGTAGATACTGAAGGATAGTATTTGTATAACGCTGAACGATAGATTTGCATAATGTATAATGCTGAACGTTAGGGTTTGGTGCTTGAATATGGGTAAGCACTCACCAGGATTGAGATGGTGACTGCCAGCTGGTAGACGGTACCAATGGCGCCGCGGAGGTTCGTGGGGGCGATCTCCGACAGGTACATGGGCGCCAGGCCTTTTTGGAACAATAATGAGTTTTGTGATGAATATAAAATTTGGCTCATTTTGAATTTAACATCTGGGAAAATTAGGTTTACAAAAAAAAACTGTTATCTTAATCGTAACTCGACACACTGCAATTAGAAACCGAATACCAAAATTTCAATTTAAGCATTTGCAAAATTATTCCATATTAAGTGGAGTTGAATATCTAATTTCCGAGCTTACTGGCCTGTGTTCAAAATACTTAGCGCTGCAATTCATTTCTCTGGAAGCTCACCAGCGTTGAGTCCATTGTTGATGCCGATGAAGAAGCGACCTGCGACAATCATTTCCCAGGATCCCGCCATCTTGCAGAAGCCGAACAAAATAGCGGCTAAGAAGGCGAACACGTTGTTGATGAGCAGACCGCCCTTACGGCCGAACCTGCACGCAAGTAGTTCTGACGTCAGACTCCCTCTAGAGACTTCAATGTTTATTTGATTCCAAAGTAGCAACTAAATGAAAAACCTGTGAATTTTAGTTAAATTTGTTCGATAATTTTATTTTAATTTAATTTAATTCAACAAGTTTTCTAGCTCAAAAATTGTTCTCAAAGTCGATGAATTCAGCGTTACTCAAGCTTCAAGCGTTACTAACAAACGAACGTGGAAATATTCTTCGTTTTATTGTCAGATCGAAAGATTTTAGCCTTGGTAATGGGTGAAATCACCAGAAAATTGGTGAAACATTTTAGGATTCAAATTTCATTCCATCATTCAGTGACTAAATTACTGCAATAACCTTCGATGCAAAAAATTAGCTTACCCTGCAAAACAGCGATTAAATCTCCAAACAATACATTAAATTAAATGAGATGTAGTTACTGATGCATGTTTACCTCTCAGAGAAGAAGCCAGTGAAGGCACCACCAATCATGCCGCCGATGCAGTAGATCGAGACAATCCATGAGATGATCATTGTCTTGGAGCTCTGCGTGAGGTACTCCTCCGTTCTGTTGTAGTTGGTCGTGTTCAGCCAGTCGCCCATCAGCTGACATGTTCAGAAAAAGGGTTGAAATCAATTACGAACATTGAATAATTTATTGCTCTATTAGTTGGAAATTGGGAATTACATCACTCATTTGAATAGCGATTATAGTTTTGATATTATGCAGGAACATCACGTCAAACTTGTATATGAGCAGCCTCCCTGATAGCATCATTGACGCTCCGAGTATGAACATCTTCAAGAACAGACTAGACGAAGCTATGCAGGAGCTTATGTTCAGTCTTAAAATGCCTAGCAAATTACGGACCAGGCAATAAGTCCAGCAGCTATCTTAATCAATCGTCAGTTATGGAAAGATCGGGTTTCAAAGGCCGGATTCCTTGTGAATCAAGTCACGAAAAGTACAAGAATCGGCAACAGGCCATGGGCCTTCAGTGCCAACACTTCTATTCTATGAGCAAGCAAACCATTGCTCAGATGCAGACGCTTTGTGTTGCTCGGAAGTAGTTTTTATAGAGAACGGTGAAAGAGACGAAAAGAAACGACTTAAAAATATTAATCGGTGGCAGCGATAATAGGGTTCATAGCAAAAAAAGTGATGCTACAGAAAAAGTCAATAATTTTGAGCTATAGAGTACAATAATTCAGAGATCTAGCCTCAACCATACAAGACTTTTCTAGAGCTCTGTCTAAGTCTTCTCATTAAATATAATTTCCCTTACTCGTTTTCCTTGCATGAGACAGCTCCGAGAAAAGGCATGTACACTATATATCGTTTTCTCATAGCTTCTTTGCAGCAAATACGAGAACTGTTTTGCTTGTTACCTGCAGACACCAGCCGTCTGGACTTGACTTGCATGTCTCGTAGCTTGACATTAAAAAATTCAAATTACAGTTATCAGTCATGATATTTTTTTGTGAACAAGCGTTCTATTCCCAATCCCCATCACGTCGCTAGACAATTTTTATGCTGACGCTATTGTTTTTAAATTTTCTCCTTAATTTTTTTGCTTTGAAAGAAAAAGGAAACAAGGAAGCAATGTGCATGCCGACGGCGAACGTCTCGTTCTATGATTGGCTGCGCCGAGAGGTGCGTTTCGAGCAGCCAATGAGAAAGCTTCTAGCGAGGGTTGGGTCGCATAGCGATTCATTGCAAGGAAGGTCACTTTCTAGTTCGTTGCGGGTACTTCCAATTAACAGACTTCGAAATAACTTCTCGTTTTTCTCATTGGTGCTCTCTTTTCAGTTTACATTCTTAAACCACTTGTTCTTCGAGTATGAAGAGTAGCTACTTCAAACTATCGTCAGTCCTGAAAATATCCGGTCAAATGACACGCTTTTAGAGCTTTTGTGAACTAGTCACAAAAAGTACAAGAATCGGCGACAGGACATGGGCCTATTTCTTCAGTGCTGACACTTCTATTCTATTCTATTCTTCCATCACAGATGTAAATTTTAGAGAATTCACAGTTAAAATACATCTCAAATCAACTTACTGGAGACTTTAATCCAAGTTTCTTCATAGTTCATATGATATGAAAATGTAGTCGGTTTATGCTCACCTCTAGAGAGGCGCTTTGATTATGTCCAGGTTGTAGCCATGCAGTAAAGTTATGCTCACCTCAAGAGGCGCGTTGATGACGCCCAGGTTGTAGCCATGCAGTAAAGTTATACTCACCTCAAGAGGCGCGTTGATGACGCCCAGGTTGTAGCCATGCAGTATCACCTCAAGAGGCGCGTTGATGACGCCCAGGTTGTAGCCATGCAGTAAAGTTATACTCACCTCAAGAGGCGCGTTGATGACGCCCAGGTTGTAGCCATGCTGGAAGGCTGAACCAAGTGCCACGGCCAAGATGGCGCACAGTAGCCGCGAATTCAGGCCCTGGAAAATCGAAAGTGGGTCAACCTTAATTCTCTAACAGGTAATGTGGGTCGACACAATTTGTGAAATGTTCGGAAAATGTGTTATTTTCCATCAATGAAAATAAAGAAGTATAACACATCTGTCGGTACATAGGTCTACTACTTGCAAATCTTTGACAGAACTGAGACAAAAATGGTAACGCCTCTAAGCCCCAGTTGTCCATTACATTTTTTTGTCTATCCATTTGAGTAACGACCGAATGATATATACTTAATATACGGAGAAACTTTTGTACTCAACTTGGATCGTATGGGTAAAATTAACAGGCATATATTTATTAAGAATGCTTTTTGAATTCGCCGGAAACACTGGCGTGTTATATATCTATTGAATAAATATTGCGTGTATCTACAACATAATCATAAATTGTCTTTAAACTGTATACAGTTTTGAATGATGCGTCCTGGATTTAGCGAAATACTTCATTCCATTGTTTGTTCCATAAGGTTAAGTTCGAAACAAGAGAACAAGTGCACCCAAAACGCCGTTTTTTCTAGAAACTGAACAGTTGGGACTTTGAGGCAGCAGATGCACGCAGGGGAAGGCCGATAGCGCGACAGATAGCAGCGTTCGACCACCGGATGAATGCCCTCGCGATGAGGCTTAACTCTCTTTGCTCTCCTAGTGAAGATTTTCGTGTGAGATGAGTGAGAAGTTCGATCGATTTCATTGATTCACTAAAAAGTATTATGAATAATGTTTGTTCGTGTGAGATGAGTGAGAAGTTCGATCGATTTCATTGATTCACTAAAAAGTATTATGAATAATGTTTGTTGGTGTGAGATAAGTGAGAAGTTCGATCGATTTCATTGATTCACTAAAAAGTATTTTGAGTTCGTGTGAGATGAGTGAGAAGTTAAGTTTCACTGATTCACTGAAATGTATTATGAATAATATTTGGTGACACGCCGTGAGCATTTTACCTCTGCTCGAATGAATGGCAACGGCAGGTAAGAGAATTTTTTTTCTTGCATTTGAATTTTAAACTCTGCACGCGAGTAATTGATGAGCGAGTTAGCTACCGCGCTCTTATGATCTTTGGATATAATGAATATTAGTCGTGCTTACTTTTTTCAAGGAATGAAACAAAACAAATAAAGATCTGGTACAATTTTTGCGCGAATTAAATGAAAATTACGTTTCCAAGTTTGTGTCGATGGCCGTGATGGTCCGCTTGCATACATTTGCGCTCAGCACTGCGCCTTTACTGCGCTCGCTGCTGGCAACGAATCTACACAGCTTTTGATGGCTTGCCAAGAATTGCGTTACCGATATTTTCAGACGTTCTCATACGCCAGCCACGAACGTTGTTCAGAATCCATTTAATTCTCTTTCCTCTTCTTCGATGCAAAATACTCGCTATAACACAATTGTTGGGACCGTTGAATATAACATGGTGACAAGGGTGAACTGCTATGGTAGTATCTGCTGTGGCCTGAGTATTGTGTTTATCGCACATGATTATCTAGTGTTTTGTCTTGACTTCGACTGAACTGCTGAGTGTGTGTTGTTACCCTTGTTCAAGTTAGATTGCTGATAGTGAGACATAATCCATTGTATCTACTTATTTTATCTTAGCGGTAGATGGTTTGTCAGCCATATAAACGGAGGCTGATAATAACCTAAAATCATATCAGAGATGCTAAAAATTAAATACTCCTGGGTTCATTCCTATTTTGATGGGCATGAAATTTTACAACGCCCTGTAGACAAGACATACAAAGTTTATTTTTCGACGTTATGCACTGTAAAGAAAAGACAAGCACTCGAATTGTGTGAATTTAAAAAAATGGTGTGCAAGTGTATTGCGTATAAACGATTGTTGACGGCGATCGGAACTTAGCATGGACTTCGATCAGGCGCTCAGCCGACCAAGGTGAACAAGACCTGATGTATTGTGAGTCGCGTATAAGCGAAAAAAACCTGGTTTTAGCCCCCCGAGCAATTCACGTCTCGTTTGATAACAATCAAATGCTAAATTCAAGGACCCTCGAAATCTTATGTTGGGACCACTCAAGCGAGCTCAATGCTAAAAACAGAGCTCTCATTGCTGGAGGCTTGGTTGATTAAATCGAAAATGTGTAGATAGTTATAGAATTTCTACCATATACGTTTATTTTACAGCTCTCAACATGGTAAAGGACATGTAACTAAACACGACGAACGAGTTCTAGCTCACGCTACAAGTGGCATTTCTGTGCCTAAAGCAGTTTGATTCTCATCGTAAGCAAGAAATTTTGTGCGGAACAGATACTCAGGGCAGCGAAAAAGTTCCGTTACAATTGAGTTCCGTTACAATTGAATTGGATTTCGGTAAATAGTCATTCAGACAAACTTCAGATATGTTCAAATACGTTACATCCCAGTAATTGTCTCTCGTAACTTTTTTTTGCCTATTTTATCTTGCAATATCTGAACAATTCATCATGTACACTAAACGTAATTTTTATTCGCAGGTATTTTTCATCTATAATTTCAGCAGCATGACGTATTCCAAGCGCCTGCCTATTAGAAATTCTTCCAAAGCAGGATATCGTGTCTTGCGTATACCAGTCAGCCAAGGGCGAGAGGCGCATTATAATTTACGAAGGACATTGAGCGAAAACAAATAGCAGGGATATTAGATTCATTACGTCTCCCTAAATCCCGTTATGGTCATTTTACCATAAAAAACTAGAAGCATGAGCAAACAAGAGAACAGTGAAGTATAGTGTAAATAATTATAATCGCTTAATAACGCTATTAAATTATTATTTTATTTCCAGTAATACCAGTGAGAGCCACACTCGTCTAAATTTAGTCTTGATATGCTTAATCCCGCCAACACGTAAAGAATGTGGAGAAAAATGTGGTATATTGATGGGATAACATCGTGATTAGACGTTATTTATTTGTTACTATGAGAACCATTTTCTTTTCTTCTATGAAACTTTTGACTATATATTTTCATAACAATTATTAGAGAAATATCTGAACTATATTTCCATTATTATTATCAGAGAGATACCTGAAGTCAAGGTATAAACAACGTCGAGGTAAAACCTTGCTCTAAATCCCTCGACCCATTGTTTCCAGTATTGCGGTTTGCAGGTTTCACCACCTACTGGTAATCGAACTCAAATTGACCTTAACCTATTTTAATAAATGTTACAAATTTTTGGAAATCTTATCGCATAATTGATGGATCAATACATAATATAGAATATTAAATATGGAATGAAATCTAATTTACGATTTATATCGTGTTCATGTGAAAAAAAAATTTTTTTGGAGAAAATGATGTGAGATTCATTGCTGTTTGCTTTTCTTTTTGCGATCTCAATCGAGTTCATATCTGCATTTTGAAAAACAAAGATGATATTAAAGTTTAGTTTAGTCTCACGCTCGAGTGGGTTTTCACGTCGAATCATCATTGAACAACGGGTTAAATAATAAATGACAAGGGTTATTTTAAAACGGCATTATCTAATTGAATTGAAGTAGGTCTAATTGACCTACTTGATAAAAGAAATTTTGTGACTTGCATGCTCACAGCTCTACAAGACTTTATTGATTTATAATACTGCTGACTTTAATTGGACAACGCCTCCTCTAAATTAATGTTTTATTGATTGAATATTTCAATTGAACAAAAACTACCCGAAAAGTTCTATCAACTGTATACTCCGTTTGAACAAGACGTACTTAAAAAATTAACTTAGATATATTTGCCAATTATTTTTATTTGAAGCTTGAAACCGTAAATATGAAAAGACTGCTGATCGGGGGCGTATGAACGACACTTCTCGTATGCGAATATATCCTGGGACCTGAAATGTATTTCAGCGAAATAGGCTATTTCAATAAGAGAGAACTCCATCTCTGCCTGTAGATGAGGACGCCGCGATTTTTAGCGGCGAATTTTAAAGCTTGAATAATTGAAGTTCGTGAATGCCCAGTCAGTGCTCTAGAAATACAGACTATATATACAGTCCATATTCAACTGTATACGGGCGATCAGTGAGGGGCGCTTCATCAGAATATGCAGCGTGCTCAGCAACAGCGATGCAGGCGACACAGGCCACTAGACTTGTTCTGTCATGAGATGATCCCATTAAACAATCACGTATTAAACAATCACGCATTAATGATCGCATTAAACAATCACGCATTAATGATCGCATTAAACAATCACGCATTAATGATCGCATTAAACAATCACGCATTAATGATCGCATTATTCACAATCACTGCAGCACCAAAGGATAATCAACTTCAGATGCTCCGTCTCAACATATTGAGTGGCAGGAATGAATGTAAATGCACCTTTTTCAAATTATAATATCAGGATATTTGGTTTCATGAGACGATGTGCAGACTTCACATTACAATTTCCAAATAAGAATCGATATTTGCTTTTTGCTGATTTCGAAATGTAAATTCATGATATAAATGTAGATGATTTTCTTGCACACTTCAACAATATTTGTCTAAAAATATGTCAATGAATTGGCTTTCTGCATGACTCAATTAATGGTCGTAAATTAAATACTTTTCCGTCAGACTTAAAGTTTAAGTATTTAAAAGTGTACAAAAAAATTTGAGCTACGTCTAAATTGTGATACGTGTTCAAATATTTGTCGGCAGTAATTATTCTTCGCATGCGTCGGTTTATGAAAACTTGTGCAATATTTTCATGTGAGGAGACTGAGACGACATTTAACACTCTATAGCTGGGATATACGAATCACTACTGGGAACACTTCATTGAATGATTCTTGCGTGCGACCACACGTCATTCTTCAACTTCAACACTGAGAACGCTTCACCAACCGAAATGATGAATTAGACTGAACGGAATGTGATGTTCCTACTCCACCGAATAGTGACAGGGTGATGAGTGAAACAATTATATTTGCGTGGGCTTCAGCACAATCGCTTGCGCTTACCGCCAGCGACATGGACGGTCGAACTTCCTT